GAACAAGCTACAGGTCAAACGTGGAGAAATTCGAATGCTTCACTTCTATCTAACAGATCTAAAAGGGGATACAATCAAAATAAATGTCTGTCTTTGTTTAAAGACAGACATCGAAATCTTGTCGTTTGCTCTATACTCTGATTGTCTTGTCGCTTACTTCACACACGTTTCCTACATCCGCTAGCTCGGTAACCTAATATAATCGATATCTCATGAATAATCAAGATCATCTGTCCTGTCAAATAGACATCACTAGCTGATCAACAGTTTCAGGAGAGTGAATCCTCTGCGTCCTATTATTCGATATCAGCTACTTCTAGTCCTCCAATAACTTTGTACAAGTTGCGAATGACTTTGATGCAGGAGCAACTAGTCAGTCGGAGTTGAGTATTTTTTGCGTCGGTTGAACGTTTTAGACTAATTGCAATCAATATTGTTTCAAACTTGTATCGAAATTTCGTAGCCTAAGCGAATAAGTGTGACATGGACACTAACGATTGTTGAACATGTCAAGTAAAAACACATAGCAATTATGGTATTTCGTTGAATATCTTTCCTCAAAGGCTATCTAATGTACTTCAGATGAAATATGGTCATATGTGACAGACTCGGTATGAAATGGAAATGATTGTTTAATGATACAATTTGAACAAATTTCAGCAGTCTAAGGAATTTTCCACAGAACAATGAGACTTTTGGTATTTGTATGTTTATCATTGTCTGATTCTCAAGCCAAATTGATTTCTTTAATTACAGGGTCAAAATACTTATGTGAGTCTTGTTTCTTTTGATCATACAAATGTGTACGATAACCAATTAGGCAGAAGTAAATAACAAACCTTGTGAAACTGTCTAATGTGTATATTTTGTATTAGGTCTAATTGGTATTGAGCTCTTTTTGCAAATGTTTCATCATATTTACACACACTCTCAACTCGGTTGTCTTTCTCTGTATCTCCGATACAGTGTGTGTTGGTGTGTCTCCGATAAAATGCGTGATAATATGAACATCATCCGGATTTCATTAAAATTCTGATTGACTGAATGACTGTTAGATTAACTGAACAGGAATGTGTAGTTCCACTGAATTTCAACTGAATTTATTTTCATTATATTTCTCCGAGTGTTTTACTAATCGTAAATGTTGGTAGTTTCCGTGGGTATTACTCCTCAATGCACCTAGTACACTGTACAATTCCTGCTTTGTGGAATGTGTGTCATTGCATTGAAGCAAGTGGTGTCCCCTGATTGCAGGCGAGAAGATTCACTTTCCTATTACCCGGTTTACACACATATATCCTACACACATTGTCTACTACGCATAACATTTTTACTATGTATGATTTTCCTCTTAACGCTACTCCGCTAACCTCTCATTTGCTGAGAATATTCACCACTAGCTGTGACCAGATCACAGAATATGTCTTTATCTAATGAATGTGCATGTTCTTCCATTAACGGGAAATCTTATACGACTGGAGTTCGCGGGTAACCGTAAGACTGTTTCCTGATGTTTATTGGTCGTTGGTTCATTTTTCGCAGTCCGTTTGTTTTAGATGTTGCTTAACACATAATTCATAATTCATGATTGTAGAATCCTTTTTGAATGTTTTGTTTTTTGGAAAATCCCTCCAGGTTTACATATTTTTGCTATGACATGACGGACTTTTTCTGTTGACATTTTTGGTACTTTATTTGTTTCCAATTTGAGATTTTATCATTGTATATTGTTAATCTTTCTATATTTTGTACTTATATTGAAGTTTTTGTGTTTGCTTCTGAACTGTACATATGTTGTTTAAATTTGATATAATATGGCTACCGCCACATTTTTGGATTCATCATCGGGCAGTACAGGAGTTCACCTAAACCTCGGAACATTGATACTCGTTTGGAGTAATTCTGAATTGGAAGACGTAACATTAGTTAGGTATTATTTGTATTTCCATTTGTAATTTGTAAATAGACCATTTCCCTCTAGAATTATTGTGTTTTAACTTCGAAATTGGGAAGTGCGTCCAACCTACGTCTATTGGAATCGAATTTAGCTGTCACGATGAAGAAATCACCTACAATGATCATCGAACACTTGGCGTTCGCTCTATACCCTGACTGTGTTGTCGCTTACGTCACACACGATTCCTACAGCCGCTAGCTCGGTAACCCGATATAATCAATATTTCATTATTAAACAAGATCATCTGTCCTGTCAAATAGACATCACTAGCTGATCAACAGTTTCAGGAGAGTGAATCCTCTGAGTCCTATTATTCGATATCAGCTTCTAGTCGTCCAATAACTTTGTGCTGTGACCAAATCACAGAATATGTCTTTATCTAGCGAGCTTGCAGGTTTATTCAACCAGTGTTATCCTCTTTTGATAGCTTTTGAGAGCTCAACGTTTTCCACAATGTGATAGTTCGACACCTGTTCATCAATGACGCTGACGTTATAATGTTGAGCGAATTGTAATACCTGAACACCCACATTCAGATATTCACATCATTTCTTGCGTGTACCTGTCAATGTGAGACACTTCCTCATTCAACTCAGCAGCCTGACTAGCGTCCTCCAACTACTTCACACACTGTTCACAGCTAAATATTCTTTCTCTACCTATTACCGACTTATTCTTTATTAACTAACAGTTGCTTTAAGCCACATCATTGATGTACAACATTTAGACAAACTGGAAGTGATTGATGCCCAACTCTCCCATTTCCATTCACCTTCAATTGGAAAGCAAATGCGGATGTCCTTATACGTTATGTAAATCAAAATATTCTGCAAATATCTCTGTCGCGCTTAGGAATATTCCGATTCATTGCGTAGAGAAGAGATAATATACACTGGTTTCCGACCGCTCCAGTAGGTATATGAGTTCATTTTGATGAGAACATTTCACTGTGGATACTTAAGTACTTAATTGCTCACGCCTGTCACCTCTCATGGAGTGTGAGCCACCAACCACGACTGTCCAACCAACTATGTGCAAGACTTTCCTTTCCAGTTCCTGTCAAGCGCTATGTGCTCAGTGTCGTTCCTCGAACGGCGATTAATCAAGTCTCGTCGTGTGATGCTCGACTCGCACCTTACAGACTAACGTTTCGGATTTCATCGTTTTCTATTAACAGTATGAGATCACTATGGTTTCCCGATGACACCTCAAATTGTCATTGTAGGATAATTCATGGTCTTGTTTTCAAACAATGGTAATTTGCTGGCTAGCTTTTACCCATCATTATGGAATAAAAATACGATTCAACATCGAGCCGCAGCATTCTTTTTTATTTTCAAATAAACAAGTAATAATTTAAAAATGTTAACATTATCTGAATTTGTTTATATTTCTATTTAGAAGTGTTGGAATCTGATCCCGGATCTTGATATAAAAATACAAATACACACTATCCATAGGATTGAAACATTCACTGATATATTGTCGTAATCTCGTTGGTTGAATAGCATTGCATTACTTATCCAGCCGACTTGCACCCAACGTTCGATGTTGCAGCCGAACTTTCCAAGCCTCATCATGTTGGCGAAATCAAATTTAAATAAATCTTCATATCGATGTCACCACTTATCAAAAGTAGCATTGGCATCTGGATCATATTGAAATTCAACTATGCTATTTGAGATGCCGTCGACTGATGGAGCTGTGGTTGCATCAGATGTACTGTGCTGTTTGGAGGTGGAAATCTTTTTATCTGTCAACATCTGCTTCAGTTTAATCTGCTGCACATATAATAATTCAATTTCGGCAGGATCCGTGTTTCCAAAAATGCCGCTTGCTGCTTGTTACGTTCATCACTAGGTACGCTTGAAGCTATTGCAAGTTCAACTTGGTCGATAAACGCGAACGAGACAATTACCTGCGTTCAAGTAGGCTACCTTGAATCTCAAACTGCAAAACAGAAGTCTTGATAAGCGTAGAAATTATATTCTACAAACACCCAGTTATCACAATACAATCAAGCAAACAATTCTCGTTTGTTTATGCATCATAGGAACGTCTTTGGGACAGGTACGGAAAAGTCTTTGCACCCCCTCTCCATAAAAGAGACATAAATCTTTTGGATCGAGTGCAGAGACAAGCACTCACATGGTTATTGATATTGAAAAATAAGCCTTAGAACGATAGACTACTGCTCTTGGGATTATTTCCACTGAGCTACAGGAGAATCAGAGGTGATCTGATTATGGCGTACAACATATTATTCACGCCAAACCATCCCAACGTGAGCAACATACCGATCATCACCACCACTCCCCTGAAAACAATCCTCGAATGATTGCACATCAGAGAGCGGATACTCAGATTCGCGCACACTTTTTCTCATTGCGAGTTGTCGCGACTTGAACTAGTCTCCAAGCCGAGGTGACCACAGCCTGCTCAGTAGAGAGCTTTAAGAAGAGAATCGATAATCACGTACCCACATACAGATTATTATCTTCCTCTTGGACAAGCTGTTAATGATGCATATCTTGAGACCTGCTAGCTTTTATCATTGCCATCTCCTCACATCAATTACTTAATCCATCTCGCAGATTATCTCTTTTCCTCTCCCTCGTTTACACTAAGGTCCTCTCTCACAATCATCACTATCAATCAACAAACTAAATTTTTCTATAGATTACTTAGTTCCGAAATTTGATTCATATTAGCATTAGAATTTTAACTTCATTATCCATATTACTCTCCACATTGCAACTAACTAATCTTCAGCCTGGTAATTTGATAGAAGCTGGTATCCACAAACCCTATTGCCCTGAAAGAAAGGTTTTCATTCAAATCACGGGACATGGAAACTCACAAACAACTGACAACTGACTAGAATTAGACACGCAAGTGGATAGACACACATTCATTGGACACTACCGAACATCTGGAACCGTACCGAAAGAACAAGAATCGAGGGCAAAGAAATTACGCTAGCTCGTGAAAACGATATTGAATATTGGATCTCAATATTTACTCCGGTTCTGTGGCGGGAATTCGGTTCGGCGTCTTGTTACAATTTGAGATCTCTACTCCGGACGCTCCTACTTTCGCGTTTCAGATCATCTGAACCAGAATCCTGAGTGGCCACTGGTTGTTGTTTAATACTTTCCTGATTGCATGTAACTTTATTTTGTGCGCTTGATTATTTATTTGTTCACGTCTTTTGTTTTTCTTTTTTTCAATAGTTCTCTTCGCTTATGTTATTCTGAACACTTCCCCACTACACAAAGTACCCTCAGGTTGGACGCATACAGTTACAGTACGTTTATTTAAGGAACCCCCTGGTGATCAATTTGAGATTTCTACTGGAAGAAATGTCTTCGAACACGAACTTTTCGAATTACCCTGAAACTCATATCTCAAAAGTTAAAAGGGACATTTTACAAAGAATCAACAAAAGTGTTTCCATAAGTCGTGCCACAAAGATCAATGACCTTAATTTAAAGTATTGGCTATCAAAATCGTTCATTATAGCGTCAACTCATGAATCCCAAAATATTGTTTGTGATTGTAACCATCTCAGCTCACACACTGATGACAATATAGGAAGTTACATCTCCCCTATACAATACAGTAACTGTTTATATCCAGTTTCGTATATGGGCAGTTTGTCGTGGACGTCAAATTGTGAAGAATGTAAGGTAGAGTTCGGTCTCGTGTTTAATCGGTTTTTACAGGTGAATGGTGTAAGTTTTTGTCAGATACAAGGATCCGATAAATCTCTAGGTGAGTTTTACTTCTAACTATCCTGAACATTTAGGCGCTTGAAACGGATATCTTAACGATTTCGTTCCACTCCACTACTTCATTTACAGTGATAAATGGGTCATGTGGAGCTTAAGACCATAATCTTACGTTATGGCCTTCATGGGAATCACTCCATACCTCATGTCTAGTTTTCAACAAGTTTATTTTTCGCTTTTTTAAAAATGATGATTGACATCAAACTGATTTTCCTAGTGTATGTAGTGCCTTAAATATTCGAAACTCAATATGATATATTTATGTCATTGGATGCTATTATACGAACTCTACTAGTTAGAACAAAACCCTCCAGTTTTGATTAGCTGCCCTTTCAGCATTTTCAAGACCTAAAACTTTCTTAACAAACATCGTGAGGACTTTTGAACGTACAGAGCGATACCTTTTAAAACCAAACCGTTTTTTGAACACGTAGTCCCAACTAGATACTGTCGATACTACGATGATATCCTAATAAGTGCTTATCCTGCACCAGTGATATACCATCTTCTATTCTTTTGTGTGAGATTTTCACATTTTGACTTAAATCGGTGGTTATTTCTTGGGTTGTTTATGCGAAAACTACATCAAACATTCTTCGAAATCTAGTTTGCATATACTTTTCATTAAATTAGTAATTTATTCGTGGAGAAATCATAAACAGTACGAACACATCAGCTTATTAGTTGGGCTCCTTGGTTTGGTAATGTCTTCGTATATTTATAGTTTATTCAGGTTTTGTATATCAAGGTGGCCCAGTTTTTGCGAATCATGTGAGAAATAAGGAAAGTGAGTAGACATTCGAACTATCATATACTCATCTATAAAACACATTCAGGCTTACTCATGAAATTCGACATAATAAGAAACAATTGATTTGTGAATTGAAAGAGAAAGGACAAATTTAAGATTATTTTGAAAATTACTATTTAGAGGGAGACAGAGTAAATACAATTTGGATAGTAGCGTCGCAACTTTATATCGAACATTTATCGTATACATCCTTTGTACACACGCGAAAGTGTTTTTTATATTACTGATTTTAATTCTTTTCTAGATGACTGCTTTACATCAGTGATTCGTTCTCGAATGCGTATTTACTTTGGTTGCTGGCTACTTTTAGCTACAGATTATCAATCTGCACGTATTTTGCGTAATTATAATCTACTTAAATCAGTTTTACTTTTCTGGAAGTGTGGTATCCTTTTTACCGTTTAAAATAGTTGCTATAGGAAAAGTAGTTTGTTCAACTAGACCCATAACTTTCAGAAAATGAATGAAGAAGTACAGATTTGTTTTACTTACTAAAATTCAAACGTTAAGAATTTATACTTTAACTTAATATGATATAAAAATCCATCTTGACTAATGTAATTTGAAACGGTTTGGATTATTCTGTTGCTGATATTTTGACGAATTAATTCAGTATTGGTTGGCATATGCACATCCTATGCAGATTTCTTGATCATAGATGCCAGCTTCATGTGGCAGTCAAGCTTGCTCGTCGTGATGACTCAGCCGAGCTATATTGGTTGGAAAACATGTTCCCTTAGGTCCTTCCATGCTAGGCACGTTAACACTAAAAGTAGCGACTGAAGGTCTGAGGGTGAAGTCGTACTACTGACTGTAGGGGGTGTGACTACAGTGAGGTGTTTTCCTCGGACAGCCAGTATCTATGGCGATGCCTGTTTCTCATATTAGAAGAAAAGAGTTAAAAATGTCACGCCCCACAGATTTCCGTCTCCGGTGGCAAGGCATTTCGAAGAGCAGAGCTAGCACTTTAAAAAGACCGTGAGTGACCAGCCTCATGCAGTTTTCGCCTAGGCGCTACGTCATGCTCTCAGGTCACTAAAGCTGATCGTCTTTTAGGTTCCTCAAGAAACACCCACCTTCGTACTCGTAACAGCATACGGGACGAGATTGGTTAAAATGAAATCCTTTCTACACCTAATAACTCTCTTATCTCCACGACTAACTCTTCTCAAATACATATACTACATCGTGCTGTTAACGATTTGATTACTCCAAGTGTTATTCCTGGTCTGCTCAAACCCCGATCCAAACTACTTGTCAAAAATGTTAATGTTCGAACTTTGTGCCGAATAGAACAACAGGTTTCCTTGGCAAGGACTCTAGAATCTTGCGCCATTAATGTGTTCTGCGTCTCCGAAACGCACTTACAGGATCTGACTTCAACCTGTCAACATAGCCAACTTTTAGAAGCCAGGCCTTCTGATGTCATGATGGCGTGTTGTTAAGTAAAATTGAGAGACGCCTGGATGTGTCTAATAGTGCTACGGTTCATCGAATAAATGATAGTGAACGTCTGTTGCAGCTGTGCTCAGATAACTGCCTACTTCTGGCAAACACTGACTTTAGGCATAAGGAAATACATCTTTTGACATGGTGACCACCAAAATGGACTTAAATAAATCATATTGCTCTTAGCCAATAATAATGAGACTCAACAGAAAATTGTTTCTCATTTCGGAGCACTTGTCTAGACTCAAACGCAAAAACGATACAGCAGACAGACCCTTCATATTTCTACTTTCCATACAAAAGCCAAGACAACATTTAAAGGGCAATTAGAAAAAGAGTCAGGTAGCCATATAAGTGATGCCCACCCCGAGGCAGCTTGGAATAATATCAGAAAAGCTGTGGAAACATTAGGTTAGAAAGAAGCATTTACTGCACTAATAGAACTCGAAAACTGAGAGGAGCCAACTCAAGCACAGGCTGACAAGAAGCCTACGCAATGATCTCGAACAGTGGTGGGTAGAAGAAGCATCTGCAATGGTAGGTAACAGTAGACAACTGCTCCGACTCATAAACGAAACCGGAATTAGTAATCCGGCTTTTAGCGAGACTATCTCGGAAAAAGACGGACAGAACACTGCACGGGTCAGTTATACTGGCCTTCAGCCACACCTCGGTTACCCGCGATCCCCAGTAACCCTGAATGACAAATTATGTAAATCCTCCAACTCTTGATGAAGTTGACAAGGCTAAAGAGAGGGAGAGCAGCAGGCCCTGATAGGTTAACCACCTAGATTTTTATGATGGTAGTTCAATTTTAGCAATTAGGTTGACTGAGATCTCAGGTCGACCCTGGGAAATCAATTTAACTAATTTAGTTCTAAGATATTAGCCTCAATGGTACTTAGACGCCTAACTAGCGCTCGAGAAAATCAGACTGGTTTCAGACCTAGACGTGGTTGCATTAGCCATATATTTGCATTTTGGCGTCCGACAATAATGGTATTCCTTAAGTTTAAATTGCCGTTCGACTCTATTACTCGTGAAGTTCTGTGATTGAAAGGCGTACAAGTCCTACTCGAACATTACTGGTCGAGGGAGGGCTTATGTCGAATTGATTACCTCGAGTGGTGTTCGTCAGGGTTGTCCACTTTATCATCGACATACTTTTTGGGTTGACTCTTTTTTCTTGTGACTTTTCAGTGGACTTTGTATGATTACTCACAAATGGCTTTTTCACACATGTGTTGTTAACTTAGAACATAGAGATGACATTGTTCTGTTTGTTAAAGACGCTGACAAAATGAAGAGCATTGCGACCACTTTGAGGAATAATGTAAGGATGTTTCGGATGCGATTTTCCTCATCCACATGCAGAAATGTTACTTTATCATTAGCTTTCAAGGACGCCTGAACTGGCGATTGTGGGTGAAGTAGTTGGGCGTGTCAACCCCTTCGCTTATCTTGGAAGTGTCGTCAGGCTCGATTGGCTTTTGACGACCGTTGTCACTTACGGTATGGACAATTCCATCTCTCTATGCAATTATGTGACAACTGAAGCTGTTATACTTACGTACCAAGTTCTGTACTGTAGCTGAATGATGTTACAGATTGTCTCGGTATTGCAATTGTGACGAAAATTTTTATAGGATGTAGTTAGTGGTGGAATTCAGGATGCGTGTTTCGCCCTATTCGGAGCTTGTCAGCTTAATGTACCGTATACCAACCAAGACCAATCAAATTTCAGTCAAAATATCAACAAGCAAATGATCCAAACCACTTCAAATTGAATCGAATCTCATATACGTTGCACAAGTAAGTGGCTTTCTGGGCTCACTAACTAGGTGGATAACCCGTGGGCGTTTAGAGTGAACATCACTGGGTTCGATTCTCGAAGTGAACATGTGCTCTGAGATGTAAGAACATCTGGCTGACAAGCTCGAAATAGGACGAAACATACTGCCTGGATTCTACTACTTGCCACATTCTATCTGTTTTATGTATCTTGGCTAGTCTCAGGAGACCATTGAAATATACGTTGCTTTCATGTCGATTTGTAGTTCATACTTTACCCTCAGTTTTTAAAATTGATGAAAGTATTCTAAATTCTGGTTAAATTTTAATCGAAATGATGTATTTTGTTGTGATTCTGAGACTTCTCTCAGTATAAAATGAATAGTCAATATCTGCTAAGCTATCTTAACAAAATTAACGTTGTACATAATTTAGAATTTGGTTTTAGAACATCACTAAAACTTTCATACAGAAAGGCTGCAGATATTCATAACTTGAATTTAAAGGTAATTGTTTAAAATTTCATCACTGTTTTCTCATTACAATGTAAAACGTTTTAATCAGTATTAACGGCTTTCTTTTTTAGTCACGTTCACTGTTTATTTGGGTGTCTTACACACAAAGAAAATTAGAGAAAAACAAGTTAAAACGAATGGCCAATGCAAAATATCGTTACCAAGTAAGCAAACAACCTTATTTTCAGTACTGTAAACAAACTGGTAAAAAATTAAGCTTGTTGAGTCATATAAATGTCACTTAAAGTTGAAGCATAAATTTCTGGGATAAGTAATAATAATCATAATAATAATATGAGTCTTATTCTGGTCATTTGCGTGAAAGAAGTTAAATCCAACATTTATCACAATGGTTATTGCATGTTTCCAGAAACAGTTATAACTGCTCTTCGTAAAATTAAAAGTATAACATATTTCTCCCGAGGGTTATGGATTTGTCTTTAGTCCAGCTTTTACAATAATGAGTTGGTTTTAGGATTAAATGACTTTTTTTATTTAATGACATTTTCAAATAAAGCATTATTTCACTTTTAATAAATGTAGAAATTGCGAAACCACATGACATGTTGGAAAACAAAACACTTTTTAACTGAAGGATCTGTTGTTGAAAAATCCATGTTATCTGCAGCAAGAGCTCACGATCGTCGACATACATTACGTAAAGCCTTATGTATTTGGATTTCAAGAAATCAGTTTTGGCAACAAAAAAGATCATTACTTAAAACTGCATTGAAGTTTCTTGAAAACAACTTGCATAAAGGTATTATGGTATCAGTAATTCGAGAATGGTGTCATCAAGTTTTAGATATTCAGATGTCAAGTAAGCATAATAGGTAAGCTGATTTTTGAAGTATTTTATCAATGTTACTTACTTGAAAATGTATGCCGGTGAAATACATTTCAATTTGTTTGATGTCAAACTTATTAGAAACATTTCTCGTAATAATACTTTTCTCGTATTCATTTTCTTGTTGATTTTAAACTTCAGCTTTTCATTGTTTATTTTTATAGCTAAAATATTTTAATACAATATCTAGAAAAGTAAAAATGATGTAATTTTATAAATTTGTCTGTCAACAATTGATTATCAGATACCAGTCAATGATATTTTGAAATCATAACTACTGATCAAGGTCTACCAATCAAGAGATAGTCAGTCGAATCATCTGTCTAATGTTTTAGTTAATAGTTTAAGAAGTTCAAAACAGTGGTTCCCTTTGATAAATTTGAATAGAGAAATAAGAAGACATATTTTGTGAGATAGTACCATTTCGTGCTTTCTCGTCAGTCACATACAAGCAACATGTTATTTGTGTAAATACAGTTTTGAAGATAAGGTCAAAATTTCCTATTTAGCATGACATTCACTCACTAGAACCATGGTAAACAAAGGTCAACATACAGTTGGACTTTTCCGACCAATCAAGATAGCTTCGAGTAGTTTCAGTGTGTGTGGGTTTTGATTACATGTCACAACTCTAAAGGCTGACCTTCAAAACTGTATTTACACAAATAACATGTTGCTTGTATGTGACTGACGAGAAAGGACGAAATGGTACTATCTCACGAAATATGTCTTCTTATTTCTCTATTCAAGTTTAAGAAGTTTCAAAGCTTCAGAAATCTCCTCTTTGTTGACGATTAACTTTTCTACGGATAACATTTTAAATTATCTGATTGTAAATTCACTAAAATTTGTTTTACGACTTACGAAATTCTTAATTCATTGTCTATGAGGACAATTTAAATATATATACTGTTCAATAAACGAACTTCTAAATAACGGTTCCATTCACTGTTAGTAAGGGAAATATTAATTATTGAAATGGTTTGGTTTAAGTTATTCCTTGCGATATAAGTTACTAGAAAAGTATTCTATTGTAAACCCAGTTTGGCTTTGATCACTTTTATTGTTACTATTAGTAATGTAGTAATGATAGATAGCAGTTTGTATGTTGAATATTGTCTGGCAAAATGCCTAGATTTACAAACAACTGTTTGTATGTGTAATTCAATGAGATCTTTTACTCAGAAGCTAAACTTTAATTCCAGTGCTTGTATTTTTAAAATACAAGAAATCAATCGACAAGCAAAACTTTTTCAATGAAGCTAAATATCAATTATTCAGTTTACCAGAAAAAAGAATGATAAGCTCCACTACCTTGATATTGTTGTACAGCAGGGAGAGAATGGTACAGTTCAATTTATTTTAAAAACACATGGGATAGTGGTTATCTAAATTTTGATATTTTTCTCTGATTAATTACAAAAAGCCACTTATCAAAATATTATTTCACTCAACGGATAAGATTATGTACTACTGATACACTGAAGAAAAAATTAATAAAAGTTCAAGAATAGTCAGGGAACAATGGGTATCCAAAGGAGTTTATCAAGAAACATGGGAGAAATGAAAACAAAATACCTAAAGACAAAGGCTTGTCTTCATTCATATTGAATCCAAAGGTGATTATTTTGCAGCAACAATAAAAACAGAAGATTAGAGGTATAGTAACCTCCGGGCCTGATTTTTGGATTATTACTGTATAATTATTTAATAACTAGATATTATATATATTCCTTATATGAGGATCTTCCGATTAACTCATTAACTGCTGTTTTGTAGTTTATTATTCTTCACCTATTGCTAGTTTATTTATTTACTGTTCCCCATTTTCAAACCTCTTCTTAGCTTGCTCATGAATAAATGTATTTTCTGATTATATGATGTGATGTGATGTGATGTGATCTGGTATTCACGGTATGCAAACTATGTCTGCTTGCAATATAACAAATCCTGATCTGTGTTTCTTATTAGTCATATAATGTCGGCCAGTAGTTGTATCCCTACAAAAAAACGTGAACCATAAGTTATCCTGCAGTCAAGCTGATTATCCTGTAAAAAAACAGTTTGCTCTTCACTTTAATCAAAGATCGTTAGGTACGGTTTTCATGTTACCATCAACTTAGTATACAAATTTACATGTACCTCTCAAAGCATTTATATTATTGGGAGAGAAAGAAGAGCTCATGTTCGATGCCAAGAATATACCCTAGAGTGTTTCAGGTTAATGGAATTAAAGAGCTTAATTTGTGCTACCGCAAAATATCTCTGTGACTGAAATCTTTCAACATCATCAATTAACAGTTTGATTCTGTCGTTCTCAAAGTCATCGTAGACGTAGCCACTAAACACTTTAATCTGGAGTAATCTATCCAAACGGAACCAGTTGAAAATCTTTCTTCAGCATAGTGACTTTATTGTCAGATTTGTACATCATTCTTGCTTTTTTTTTCTCTTATCATAATTGCCTCACTTATTTCAAATTCATAACTTTACTTCTGGCTAACTGACTTCAACTCACTCTTAATTTATGTTGAACTACTTCATTATATAATCGATTAATCATTATATCTCTATGATCTCTTGTTACCATACTTGATAACCAAGAATCTTCTTTTATGTATTAAGTTTGTTTTCTTTATCTATCTTCAATCTTGCTACTCCAGTATGATGCTACATATTCATTTTTACTGTGATAGCCATGTAAACTTTACAATAATTTTGATTTCTTGAAATATTATCGACTGTAAATACCTGATGAGAACTTTACGAATTAGAACAAATGTTGTTTTTGTTAGGATATTCATTCAATATCCTAAGAGAGTTATTGGTCAATTCCTACTGGTCAATTTTAAGGTCATCCTAGATATCGATGTCTCGTGCTCCAATGTTGTTTCTTATTGGTTATCCTGACTATCAATGTCACTTCAAATGTTGTTTCCTATTGGTCGTCTTTACTGTCAATGTCACAGACTTCGATGCTGTGTCCTATTCGACCAAAATGTATAAATACTCAATAACTGTAACGTTCTATGACCAGGATCCGGTCCCGGATCCCTAGTCCGGGATCCTGATTCCCTTCTGCATTCGGACCTCGTACTTTCTGGATGCTTGTAGAATGCGGATTCTACTTCATATCACGTCTTCTTATTTTTACTCAATGTGTGGGGGTTGGGATAATCGGATTAGAGTAGCATGTCGTGTCACCGGAACCTCGATCCTCGCTCTCGTTTTCTGACTAAGGTAAACTCGTAATAGTTCAAGCATATTAAAATAACATGTTTACGTGCAAGCGTAACGGTTTTGTTCAAGAATACTAAAAGGAATTGTATATATGTAAAACTATAGTATCAAAAAATAAACACTGACAGCACAAGAAAATGAAGTTTGTAAAAAAAAAAATTAGAATCGAATTGGATGGAAGATGTGAAGAAAGAATAGGCAAACTGAAAAATGACTGAATGTACATCATTATAATTGATTTTCACGCATATATATTGCAAGGTCTACCACTGTTGAGCACAATTAACACATAAACCGTAACTAGGATGTTCTTAATTTTCCCCCAAACAGTTCAGTCAATATTTTTATGAACTTTCTAGTTGTGTTATATTTCATTCTTTTACTCCTTCACCAACTACCATTGATCACATCTATAGCAGTTGCACTAGATTTTAACACAAAAAGAATTCATTATTATGTTAGATAATTAAGCAGAAGCAGCAGCAGCAGCAAATTGTTGTTTTGTGGCTGAATTCAATCACCCATAAAAGTGTAATTTGCAAAAAATATAAACATAAAAAACTAAGTAGCTAATTCAATTTTATTTGTATACCTTTTCTTATCTAAATATTTTTATCATGTTAAAATATAAAATAAAATAAATACAATGAATGAATATGTTTCAATAAAATATATCGAATCAGTCGACATGATGCATTCATTTGACAATAAATTTCTATTCCAGTTGCATGTGGAACTAAGTAAAGAATTCATACACTTAGAGAGTATAAAACTATTTAATGTCCACTGGTTTTCAACGTTTGTTCAATCGATGAAATCTGTGCAAGAGGTTATCGCAAAAAAAAATGTTTTTAATAAAGGAAAATAAATAGTGTCCTCTAGCTCCGACCGCAGCTGCTACCTTAACGTGGTGGTCGGGCTTGCCTATCGTGATGATTCAACCGAGCTATATTGGCTGGGACATATGTTCCTGTAGGTTCTATCATGCCAGGAAGGTCGATTGAAGAACGGTGAGACTAGAAGCAGCCACTCAAGGTCTGAGGGCGAAGTCTTACTGCTGACTGCAGAGGGGTGTGACAGCAGTAAGGTGTTTCCCTCGGACAACCAGCATCTGCAGCGATGCTGCCCTCTCACAAGGAAGGAAGGGTTAGAAAAGTCCGACCCTAAAAATGTCACACCTCACCCTACCTCACGGATTTCCATCTCAGGCGGTAAGGATTCCCACTAAGGACTTTTAAGAGCAGAGCTAATACTCAAAAATCGTTTCATCAAAAGGTCGTGCATGACCGGCCTCAAGCAGTTGTCCCTTGGGCTCTATGGTGACACTCCCACGTAGTTAAGATCAAGGCTAATCTACCTTCTTTTTCAGGTTCATCAAGAAAAACTCTTCCATGATGTGAGTAACGAGAGCAAGGGAGATGGAAAAGGCAACGGCGATAGGCAACTATTCAGACTCATCAAGGAAACTGGTATAAGGAACCCGAATGTCAGTGAAACTATCTCGGAAAAGGATGGTCTTATTATTCAGTCTCAATCCAGGAGATTGTAACGATGGGCAGAAAACTTCAGGTATCAGTCCAACTGACCTTCAGCCACACTTTGGTTACCCACAGTCTCCAGTCATCCTGAATGGGAAACCTATAGGTGTCTCCGAAGCATTGCTCGAGTATCTTGGGACAGCCGAGTAAGCAATGCTGTTGTTAGGTCACGGGTGCTAGGTAACGATGGTAGGTCAATAGATGAAGTGGTGAAACTTCATCATTTGGGGCGGTTAGGACATGTGTTACGTATGACTAACCACCGACTGCCTCGTCGAGCTATTTTTACGATGTAGGAATAGATTGGACGAAAGCTATTGGTGGCATAAATGCATGAAGTCACTGACAAGTGGACTGAGTCATGTTGGTAGATGTAGACTACCTGGTTGGGGTCCGCGACATGTTAGTAATCGATGGTTGGAGACCCTGAGTGATATGGTTCCAAACCGTTTGCAACACAAAGAGTACTTTGTGTTCGATGAAATTCTAACCTGAATTCTTCATCACCTCTATATTTCTCTTTCGACATTTATCACTGAATTATACTACTGGAATAACATCTTCGGACCCTAATCTCTCCGATTACTTCTAATACTTTTAGTTCCTCTACTACAATGGGATTTGAATTGACAATTATATCTTTGTGCTAATGTTGTATGGCAACTTGAACTGCTGTACTTACGTATGAAGTTCTACGTTGTAACTGACTGACTGAGTCCTCTAGCTAAGATCTATCCATCACGTCGAGTTACGTTTTTTAAATACATTACTAAATTTTTTTATTTGTGACCTTTTGGAATTATTGAGAAACAAATCGAATATAAATCATAATCATGTTACTTTTGTTTCCTGTTCCCTGTAGGTATCGAATTCTGAAAACTTTTCTCAAAATTTGGTCACATCGAACTGAAGTGACTATTATGGAACGTCAAATGTATGATTCTGCTTGTACTATGTATTCTATTTCAATGCGTCGTTTTTATTTTTTGTTATGGAGAAACTATGCAAACCATAGGCAGAAAATATACAAGCAAACGAAAATGGGTATTCGATTTTACAAAATAAATCAAATGAAAAAGTACTTAAACGCTTGGATGAATTACCGTTTGTTGGCTGTTGATCGTCGTAATAATGTTCAATCTATGGTTGTAAGTTAGTCGGTTTATAAGGAATTAAAAATTTTCCAAACTGGTTAAGGTATCGTAGTCTTGCTAGACCACGAATCGTTTTTCAATTAAAACTCAGTCATGGTATTACTTCAAGTGAGCATATCTTGAATACAATTGTTCACTGATCTGTCACCATAAATATATGAGTTTAGTGCGTCATAGTAGGGGCACAATACTGAAAAAGACAATTCAAATTCGGGACAATTTTACAGATTGTTATTGTGTATATTTTTGTTGCATTGTAGTGAAAGAGAACACAGGTGAGGGCAACCGAATTGTATTCAATAAAATAGGAAAACTATATCGTAACCGTTAATTTGCAAATCTTCAATCCATTGTCTGAAATTTCACTATTCATGCGTTTCATACAAATTCCATTGTGTTCCCACTCTTCCTTTCTTGATCTTCCCCCATCTTCTGCTGCCAGACATTACGTTTACACTCGCGTCATATACTACTTATAAGTAGCGCGCACCACATTATAATTAATTGTTAGGTGATTGGATCATTTTTTTTATGTGTTCCTTGTATTCTAAGCTTCTGTGGGATGTATTAACTACTGTAACAGTTCTTGTGTTTTCTTCCCTCTCTTCCGCCTATGGTATGCATTTTCGTAAAGGGATTATTTCATGTTTAAAGTGTGCCGTGTCTGACTATAACATTCATCCCATCGAGAGCATCGATTTCTTTAAAATCGGAGATTGAGTTCCATGATTATTTTCAACTAATCTAAAATTTAGTTCCTCAGCTCTTATCTAACAGCCTCCAACCCCAAAAACCGTACAACTTGCTAATAACTACTCAAGTTATGATCATGAATCCATCTCAGGTCATCCTTAATTGTATGAAAATAATTTATTCAATATTCAATTTCCAATTTGAGTCATGCTCTAACATTTTATACAAAGCTAATAGCATTCTGATAAAAAAAATGTTTGCTGTGATTTACCATGTTTATCAATTAATTATTATTAGTAATAATGAATATTAATAACAAAAATAATAATAATAATCTTATTTGTTTACTTCAAGATGAAATATAATACATCATTAATTAGACAATGTTTATTGAAATGGAAAGATTACTGTACTCTTAAACAATCATTTCTGTCGAAAATATCTCAATTTAAAATGTATCAGAAAAATGCATTACTTAAAGAATATTTTCAATACTGGCTGAATAATCTTCACTGTAAACAATCACAAGAATTAATAATCTATGATTTTAGACAACAAATGCAAATGCAATTCATAAAAAAAGTAAGTCAATGTTCAATGTAAACTTTTATATCTTTAAAAAGAAATAAAATGGAATTCAAAAAATCTCATGTTAGCTTGTATTATGATCAAGTGAAATACACTGACAATCTAGAAAAGATGTGTATTGTAAATTATTGAATATGTACCTTAACTGTCAGCTTTTGTGTAATAAATCATATCCTACCATCAGTTACACATTTCATCTTACTATATTATTATATATTTACGACAAGAGGTGTTCTTCGAAGCATTGCTCGTATATCCTGGGACACCCGAATGAGCAACACTGTTATTAGGAAACGCGTACTGGGTAAGAATGGCAGATCAATAGATGAAGTAATGAAACTTCATCAGTTGAGGTGGTTATGACATGTGTTACGTATGCCTAACCACCGACTGCCTCGACGAGCTTTGTTTTGTTGTGTAGGAATAGTTCGGAAGAAGGTTAAGGGCGGTCAAACCAAAACGTGGCACAAATCCATGAAGTCATTGACGAGTGGACTGAGCCATGTCGGTAATTGTCGACTACCTGGTTGGGGTCCACGAGATGATAATAATCGATGGTTAGATACCCTGAATGACATGGCTCAAAATCGTTCGCAATGGCGCCGGTGCATTTATTCTTTGTGTTCTCTCAAATCCTGATCTTCTGGATTCTTCAACAACTCTAGTTTTGACTTTCTAAACTTTTCTCACTGAATCATACTTCTTGAATAATATCTTCTAATCCTAACCTCTCCGATTACTTCTAATACCTTTACTACCTCTTCTACTATTGGATTTGAATTGACAATTACATCTCTGTGCTGATGTGGTATGGCAACATGAACTGATGTACTTACGTACAAAGTTCCACGTTTCACCTGACTGACTGATATTTACGACATTCTGAGAGATAAATTGCTTTCTTCTTCTTCTTCTTCATTGTACTACTTTCTGTTCCATATCAAATTGATTTTAAATGTGGAAATACTGTTGTAAATGTTTCCTGTCCACGAAATGCATATCTACAAAAACCTTGTTTGTGCCATTTAAAGAGTCGCGTAGGCACCTTGAAAATTCAATTGTATATTACTTAAATTTATAAAATGTATGGGATTATTGTAATACGTCGTCGAGATATGGCTTTTCGAAGTTTTACCGATTGGCCGAATTCAGTTATTTCAGTACGACGCCGAATACTGTTTCCCGAATCTTCAATATATCAGAACACAACACTTTCAAATGAAACTTGTTTATGGGGTCCAAGTACAGAAGAAGAATAATAAGACTTCACAGATAATGCATATTTATACAGTTAGGACGACTGTAAATATTGACCAATAGGGAAACATAATACGACATATTTGAAGAGTCTGGAAACATGTGAAAACATACAATTGTACATCCAATGATAGAATTAGACTTACAACATCATTCTTAGGATATTTTTATGAATATCCTAACAGGGATAAATCGAAAATTGCAACAAACACAATCATATTTAGTTCAAATAGATTGTGTGACTAAAACCTAATTACTCAAGTAAATTGTTAACTATGAATTCGATTCTCGATGAATATAAACAAAACAGATGTTGTTTTTTGTTGAATAAAATAAATTTGCACTATTCATAACTGACGGCTATCTTACTCAAATCTCAATACTTTGTTTATAATAAAATTTCGTATGCTATTTAACATTTTACAAGCATTTTACATTTATTTGTAACATGTTACTTGCTTGTTATCGATAGTTTTCTTCTCAGTTCATAAAACATATGTATTTATAGTTCAAGCATATTTTGCGATGTAGGAATAGGTTGGACGAAAGCTAGGGGCGGCCAGACCAAATCATGGCAGAAATCCATGAAGTCACTGACAAGTGGACCGAGTCATATCGGTAGGTGTCGACTACCTGGTTGGGGTCCGCGACATGTTAGTAATCGATGGTAAGAGACCCTGAATGACATGCTTGAAAACCGTTTGCAATGGCGCATGTGCATTCATTTTTTGTGTTCTCTCAAACCCTAAACTTTTTAATTCTTCATCAGGTCTATTTCACTAGATTCAACTTCTTGACTAATATCTTCTAATCCTAACGTCTCCGTTTACTGCTAATACCTCTACTACTATTGGATTTGAATTGACAAGTACATCTGTGTGCTAATGTGGTATGGAAACATGAACTGATGTACTTGTGTACGAAGTTCTACGTTGCTATTGATCGGTTGATTGATTGATTGAAGCATATCTACTGTATGAGCTTGCATTCTGTTGAAAATTTATTTTCTCATTTCATGATATTTCACAAACAGCTTTCCTATTTACGTTTTATGAATTTCTCTTATTCAAAATGATCTTTAATGGGAGATTGTTTTGTTTGCTTATTTTAAAAAAAAATAAATAACTGAACAATCCATCACTGCTTATAATGCGTATGGACTTAATTGCGATTATGTAACAATCAGCACAGGATACAGCGCGCAGATACGCCAATAGAAATTGATGAGTTGCAATGCTAAACTATCAATGAGAAGATCCAAACAGCTAATATATATATGTATATGTAGTATTTCAACTCGTTTTTTAAATTTTCTCAGCGTTTTATTTTTTTTCTGGTTAGCGTTTTTTCGGTGGGATGGGGTCGCCAACCCCATGCCCCAACCCTTCTCGTTTATCCATACTTGGGACCGGCAGTAGCCCCGAATGTTCCACAGGCGGCATTTTTTAAAATGTTTTTCGAAAAAAAAATACTTTTTTAAATTAAAGTCTTCTTTAGCAATCGCTTTTAAACAATTACGACGTATATGCCTCGAATCCCTCATTGATTTTCTTATTTGTTGGTTTTGCTGTTTGTTTTTCTTTTCAACTCTTGATTCATTTTTATGTATATAAACCTTATAACATTTGCAGCGGCCCGATAATTCACGTCCACAAGAGATGCCGCATCTTTTTTAACACTGTATCTTCAATGAGATTTTTACCTTTTTTCATTTGAAATCAAATTGTTTTTCCACTTCATTTCTGACATTTTAAGGATTATAAAAAATGTTAAAAAAAAACTCTGTGAACGTTTTAAAAAAATTTTCGGTTATTTTAAAAAACCGTGTTAAAAATTTAAAAACGAGTTGAAATACTATATATACACATACACATCGGGAAAAAAATCGATGATTTTTGTGATGCAGTAGTTTTGCTAAATTACTCTTTGAGAATTTGCAGTAATTTGTGCTATTATTACATTTTACTGTGATCAACAATACTTGAATTTTAAGTATATCCAGTGAACAGATCCTAAGTAAAACAAAATAAATCCTACCTTCCCTGCCCTCCCCCGAAATTTCACATTGCTAGTCACTATCAAAAATCTAAGCCATACTACCTTGTTATTGTACATTTTTTGCATAGGATGATAGATGTTTATTTAAGAAGGAGTTGTGATTTGATAAAATGACACTTTACAAAATTGTTAATTATTACCTAATGCAAAGCAACTCATGTCAGTCAGTCAGATGCAACGTAGAACTTCGTACGTAAGTACATCAGTTCATGTTGCCATACCTTATCAGCACAGAGATATAATTGTCAATTCAAATCCAATAGTAGAAGAGGTAGTAAAGGTATTAGAAGTAATCGGAGAGGTTAGGATTAGAAGATATTATTCAAGAAGTATGATTCAGTGAGAAAAGTTTAGAAAGTCAAAACTAGAGGTGTTGAAGAATCCAGAAGATCAGGATTTGGGAGAACACAAAGAATAAATGCACCGGCGCCATTGCGAACGGTTTTTAGCCATGTCATTCAGGGCATCTAGCCATCGATTACTAACATCTCGTGGACCCCAACCAGGTAGTCGACAACTACCAACATGACTCAGTCCACTCGTCAATGACTTCATGGATTTCTGCCATGTTTTGGTTTGGCCGCCCCCAACTTTCTTTCAACCTATTCCTACACAACAAAATAAAGCTCGTCGAGGCAGTCGGTGGTTAGGCATACGCACACATGTCCCAACCACCTCAACTGATGAAGTTTCATTACTTCATCTATTGATCTGCCATTCTTACCCAGTATGCGTTTCCTGATAACAGCGTTGCTCACTCGGGTGTCCCAGGATATACGAGCAATGGTTCGAAGACACCTATGATCGAAAACCAGTAACCTACTAATATCTTCCTCTCTCACTGGCCATGTTTCACAGCCATATAGTAGGACGGCGCGAACTACTGCACAGTACACTCGTCCTTTAGTCAGCAAACGGATATCTCATGACATAACATTGTAGATTTCAGTAATTAAATAAATCAAATTTTGATTGTCTTGAATGTTTTTTCTACTTTAAATCATCGAGTCCTGAGAACTTTAGCTGATAATTTTAAAACTATTAAATTGTTATGTATCAGTAATTAGACTTAGCTGTTGACATATCAATTTAAACAGAATGTTTTTTTTGTACAATATTCAATCAATCGATATGTTCTAACATTCTGTGCACATTAAATTACTTCATTTTTCACAGTTATTTCTTGCTTGGTTACAATGGGCTTTCAGTCATCGACAATATCGTTTAAAAATTCAACGGACTTTTGAATTAAGTTTAGAGAATATACGAATTGTTACTATACGAATTTGGTGGACACGTTGGAGATCGATGCATAATTATTGTTTAAACATTCAACTTGCATATAGACTTTATAAAAAGCATATACTTGTTCAATGTTTTAACAGTTGGTCTACTTTTATTACTAATGAAAAATATAATAAAAAATTAATGAACATGGCTAATGATTTTCGAATGCAAACAATTCAGGCAAGTTAAGAAGATAAATTTCTTTTTTTTCTTTTACGGAATTTCTATATCATTGAATAATGACATATTTTAATTGTTTCTTTTCTTAGATTTATATATCATGAAAGATATACATGTACATTGTGTCAGTGTAATTGATTCCATCAGTCAGATAAGCAACATTAAAGTTGCCGCATAATGAATCTATTGAAAATGTTATATAACATCAGAGTAGCATAGAAGAAATAACAATGTTGTTAGTAGTAGTGGGAAAAAGGACCAGGCTTGTGATGTATGATTCGAGCAGAACATATACCTTGATACCTTTGTTTAATTGCTTGATTTCATATCTTATTCAGTATGATGAATAAATGGTTAGAAAACAAAATATATAAATGATCTCTACGTGGGGGGGGGTGGTGGGGGGCTTATATTAGTTTAAACATTATTTACTTATACAAACATATCATTTGATAAACCATTGAAAACACTGAACAAACCTATTTTAAAGTTAGATTGATACTGATTGTTTTCTAGTCATTAACAGTTAATCTCTATGCAAATTTAAAAAGACATGTATTATATATTTACTTCAAGATTAGGTTGCATCGGCACCTGAACTAGTGATAGGGAGTGAAGTAGTCGAACGTGTAGACCACTTATCTGGAGCGTCTCATCAGTGCGGATGGCCTAGTGAATGACGAAATCTCAGCTCGGATACAGAAGGCTCGATTGGCTTTTGCCAACCTGCATCACCTAGGCTAACCAAAGGACGAGTGTACCGTGCAACAGTTCGCTCCGCCCTACTGCGAGACTTGGCCATTAAGAGTAGAGGACTTTCGTAGGTTACTAGTCTTCGATCATCCATGTCTCCGAAGCACTGCTCGTGTATCATGGGACAACCGTATAAGCAATGCTTTCGTTAGGGAACGACTTATAGATAAGGATGACAAATCAATAGATGAAGTAGTGAAACTTCATCGGTTGAGTTGGTTGGGACATGTGTTACCGACTGCCTCGACGAGCTTTGTTTTGTGGTGCAGTAGTAGGTTGGAAGAAAGCTAGGAGCGGCTAGACCAAAACATGGCAGATATCCATGAATTCACTGACAAGTGGACTGAGTGATGTTGGTAAATGTAGGCTACCTCGTTGGGGTCCGCGAGACGATAGTCACCGATGGTTGGAGACCTTGAATGACATGGCTCAGAATCGTTTGCCGTGGTGCAGGTGCATCCATTCTTTGTGTTCTATGAAATTCGAAGCTTCTGCATTCCTCATAAACTCTATTTTTCTCCTTCTAGATTTATCTTACTGAATCATATCTTCGCTCCCTAATCTTCTCCATTACTGCTAATACTTCTATCACTCTTGGGTTTGAACTGACAGTTGCTTCTCTGTGCTGATGTGGTATGGCAACCTGAACTGATGTACTTATGTACGAAGTTCTGTGTTGTATCTGTCTATCTGTCTATATATTTACTGAAAGCTGACAATTTTACCTTTTTCATAAAACTATTCACTTCTTACTCTCCTTATTTTTAATATTTATGTGAATCTTTTTTTTTTGTTTATTTTCAGAAACAATTTTTCAACCAATGGCATACAAAACTAATTGAATATCATAAATTTCAAACTTTACAATCCATCGCTTTAATACGATGGTCTTTATGCTTACAATTAAAAGTTTGGAAAGCTTGGCATTTATGGATTGAAAAACAAAAATCTAAAAAAAATCAACGAAAACTTGCTCTTCAACGATATTATGAGCATAAAACTATGGATGCTTTAAGAGTATGGATTATTGTGGCATTGAATAGACGTCATGAAAGACATAGGAATTATTGTGAAAAATTTTGGGTGTGTTTTTAAATTGTGTTTGATTTGTATACTGTGTACTATAATAATTATTCGATCATTCTCAATGGTATCATACTTCATATCTTGTATTGTCTTGGATAGTAGTTCTTTTTTTGTCTATATGCTAACACTTAAGTTCTGTGTATGAACACTTCAAAAATTATCTACCATAGATATATACAGGCTAGCATAACGAGTAATTTTATAATGTACTTGTAAATGAAAAAGTCATGATGCTTTGGATAATAACATCTTCATGAGTTACCTTGTTGGACAGTGCATTATTGTCTTTTAAATCCCATTGTGTTTCATATCTCATATTGTGTCATGTTTACACAGTTGTTGTCAGTTATTTCCATAACTAACCAATCAAATCGTAGTTTAGGCGCTCACCACGTGATCTGATCTGACACGTGTCTGTAAACTATCTTTGTTGCAAATGATCTACCCATTGAAAGACATTATTATCTTAATATAATTGATGTGACGCATAATTGTATTCATTTTTCGTTAAGACACGTTATATTGGTCGGTATGTTTGCTTGTTTCACTTGATAACTGTAATTTCCTGAATTATTATACTAATCTAATTGTTTTTTACGTTTAGAAACAGATAAAGTTTAAAGCCAACTTGTCCTTATTCTGATCATAGACTTTCCCACCAACTCTGTATTCTCCGATATTGAGTTCATAGTTGTTATTATTATCACAGTACATTTGTAGGACAAATTCAATCTTACAGCTGGATAAATACATGCTTTAAATTATCTACATGTTTTTTTTTCTTCTCTTTCTATACCATCTAACAGTTTCAATCAATCAATAATCCATCTCTAAACTAATCTTACATATTCTTCTCTCTTTTTTTGTTTTTCTTTGTATTTCAGAACAATAATATTCGTGTATTTAACTTAGTACTAAATATAGCAACACATTGGTATTGGTGTACTTTTTCTAGAAAGAGAAATCAACATTTCAATGAACCTACTACAAACAGTGTTTGGATTGATATGTCTAAGTTGACTAATGAAAATCATATCTCTACACTTAAAGATAATGGCAGCAGTTTGAAAATAATTCGAAATAAAGAATTAACACCTGCACGTTATCCAGATTTCATTTTCTCTGAATTGAATTCACTTGGACTTACAAATAATAATACTGTAAGTGAGAAGTTTTCTTTTTTTTCTTCTATTTTCAATTTCATGCATTTTTCTAAATATTGAACTATTATTATTATGACATTTTAGGTGCAGTTCGAACAATCATCAATTCATGTATCATCGTCATGCATTGAAACTAGTCATCATGAGACGACAACCAACTGTCCAGTTACACATTGTTCTAGTTATTCATGTAAGTTATGAATTCTAAGCTATTTTACTTGTTCCATGTTTCTAAGGTTTAACAATCGCCATATTGTATATATAGAGCGATATGTTGAATGGAACTATTTACCGTAGTGTGATTAATCTTTTTAGATATTCTTAATCAGTAATTAAAAGTATCTTTTTCTGGTTGCTAATTTTAGACATTTAGCCTAAGCTAAATCAATAATATTATAGAGATCGCTGGTTTTACACATGAAAATCATAAACGAATCATTGTTAGATCACCATTTAGAAACCTGGAAGCACTGGACAGCCGTTTCATCCTGGCATGGAACTCACCAGCAGTGGGCATCCACGACTTCTGCTACTTGTAGGACTTGAAACCAGGACCTTCGGTTTTGCGTATGAATGCTTGACCTCTTGACTACTGAGCCGGAATCCAACAATGTTTAGGGTTGTCACCATCGAAAATGTTTTCTCATTACAGGAAAGAAACTCTCATTCAACAAACACTTGTTTCATTCCAAATTCATTGAAGTGTCCCTTAACTAATGTATATACAGTTTTCAAAATGTGCTTAAAAAAATTGTAATAAATAGAAATACCGAATTCATTACTATAGAGAATGACTTATTATGCCTTTAGCTAGGAAGTTTTTTCATCACTAAATTTTCCAGATTGGTTAAAATCCTCCCGTGTATTCTATAAGTGGTTTTACAGCGTAGTAATGCTATCAAGGTGTTTGTATAATAAAATTGGTCTATGTTTTCGTGTTTTCTAATGGGTATCTAAGATTTTCTAGCGTCTTTAGATTTCTACGTTATTTTTCTGCAGTATTTTTAGTGCATAAAATACACAGTGTATTATTAAGAATTTGTTATAATATCCGGATGAAGTCTGAAGTAAGTAGCAACTAATTTATGGACTTTTGATGTTTGTAATCCAAGTGTATAATTATTGTTTAACTAAACTATTAGGTATGTATACATTCCTTTTATTTTATGTTTTGGGGCCGAGTTTTGGAGGTTTGTGTTTTTACACATTTGAAAGCATCAATCAGTCATTGTTAGACTACCATTAGAAACCTGGAAGCACTGGACAGTGGTTTCGTCCTGGTATGGGACTCATCAGTGGGAGTGCGCACCTACGACTCTTGCTCCTCGCAGGATTCGAACCCGAGACCTTCCGTTTTGTGCGCGAACGCCTAACCATCGGACCACTGGGCCGGCATCCAACGGTGTTAATGTCTAACTCTGATTGATCTAGGGATTTTGCGCGACCTCACTCATTTGTCTTTGGTAGTTACTGCCTACACCCGACAGGGTTGAACTCCATTGGTCTCAGGTTTTATTTTGACTCATACAATTTACTGCTCCTATTTTGTTGATAATTTATTATTTGCAATCTCTCCCAGACCAAAACATAACACATTCATAAAGTCACTGACAATTGGACTGAATCATGTTGGTAAGCGTAGACTACCTGGTTGCGGTCGGCGAGACAACAGTAACCAATGCTTAGGGACTTTTAATGACATGGGTCAAAACTGTTTGCAATTGCCCAGGTACATCCATGCTTTGTTCTCTCAAATTCTAATCTGAATTCTTCACCACCTCTATCTTCTTCCTTCTACATTTATCTCACTGAATTATACTTCTTGAATAATATCTTCGAACCATAATCTCCATTATCGCTAATACTTCTACTACCTCTACTACTATGGGATTTGAATTGGCAATTCGATCTTTCTTTGCCAGTGTCGTATGTACATAGGAAGTTTTGCATTGTAGTGGACTAACTGACTGACAATCGATCAATTAATGCTGTCGTTAGGAAGCAAGTACTAGATAAGGATGAAAGATCGACAGATGAAGTATTGAAACGTCATCGGTTAAGGTGGTTAGGACATAGGTTACGAATGCACAACCACCGATTACCTCCACGAGCAATGTTTCGCGGTGTAGGAGTAGGTTGGAAGAGAGCTAGTGGAGGCTCGACAAAACATGGATTGAGTCATGTTGTCTACCTGGTTGGGGTCCACGAGACAACAGTAACCAATAGTTAGAGAGAGAGACCTTGGATAGCATGACTCAAAATCGTTTACAATGGCCCAGTTGCATCCATTCTTTGTGTTCTCTCAAATTGTAATCTGATGAATTCTTTAACAACTTTATCTTTCTCTTTTTTTAATTTATTTATTTCCTGCTTGAATAATATATTCGAATCTTAATCTTCTTCATTACTGCGAATACTTCTACTACTATAGGATTTAAATTGACATTAGCGTCTCTGTGCAACTTGATTTGATTTTGCATAAACTATTGTATTAGTGGTGATGTAATTTATTTGTTCCTTATTGCTTTTTTGTTTACTTACTATTATAATAATGTTTCATAAATAATAAATGCATTCAATTCTAAAATTATCATCATAACAATTAGGAATTCAATGGTGTCAAATCAATTCATGAATCCGTAGACATTTGTTCTATTTGTCTAATGATTCAATCATTCATTATTATATATATCAAAAGTATTTGTAGATAATAGTATATTATCTTAACTCCGCCAGTAGAACCTTCGGGGTTACTGCCGGTCCCAAGCCCGGGTAAAGGAGGAGGGTTGGACATGGGGTTGGCGACCCCATTCCGTCAAAAACTAACTTGCCAAAAAAACGCTAACCAGTATATTATCTTCGACAATAGAATAATTAACATTTGAATTTTTACATTTCTATGATTGATTTTACTCTGTAACTTGTTATACATCATTCATCATACTAGTTGTTTTATTCAAGGTCTTTGTTTAGCAAAATGAAAAAGCATTGAATTATTTAAAAAATATATATATTTTTTCATTTCTCATCAATTTATTACTGATGAATGTTTAAGTTGAAACAAGTAGATAGATACATTTTCTATTATAATCTATTGTATTCTATGCTTTATTGGTATTTCTGACTAGGAGTAGAAATAGATTTCTTTTTTTTTTTTCTATGGTAATCTGTCTTAGTTTCAGGCTAATATTTATGTCTTATTAAATAAATTAACTGAACTAAATGTGTATGTATGGTATGATGTTTGTGTTAATATTGTACATGTTTTATATTTGTCTACTTTTGATTATAGTTCCCAATATTCCAGATATTCATAAAATTAATTTTTATTTAAACTCCTTGATGGAGCGGATATCTTATTACAGAATGATAAAATATAAATATAAGTAAGTAGGCAAAATTGTTATAAACATTTTCAGATTGATGCATCAACGCTTATGTTTAAATGGTCAGTTAAAGAATAGACTTACTTGTAATCAAGAAGTGAGTAAATTTTAAGCAGTAATTTCAGATTTAGGGATCGCTAAATTTATCTTCAGAATATCAATTGAAGGTGGAAAAAGACACATGTAACTTCCTCATCAAAGAACTACGTGCGTACTTTGTTCAATTATCTGAGTCTACATGATATAAAAGGATTGTGGGTTGTTGATTTTTTAACCTTCCATAGAATCCTCTCGATCCTCAATGTCAACTGCATTTTCTATACTCCTTCAATAAAAGTCGTTTGGCGCATTAGTTTTTACTGATGATATCATGTCTTTCAAATGTAATAATGTTGTAAATCTTCGTTGGAAGTTATTTTGACTTTGGTACGTTAATAAAATATTTGATGTTATCTCATGATTCTTTTTCTACATATTTTTCGAAGTTTAACAGTAATTGTCCCCACCTGTAGCTACTACCTTGACGTGGTGGTTAGACTGGCCTATCGTGATGACCATATTGAGCTATTTTGGATGCAATACATGTTCCTGTAGGTTCTACCATGCCAGGCGGGTCGACTGGAAAACGATAAAATTAAAAGCAGCTACTCAAAGTGTGTGGGCGAAGTCGTACTGCTGACTGCAGAGGGGTGTGACAGCAGTAAGGTGTTTCCCTCAAACAACCAGCATCTGCAGCGATGCTGCCTTCTTACACGGAAGAAAGGGGTTAGAAGAGGTCGACCCTAAAAATGTCACACCTCCCCTAACTCACGGATTTCCGTCTTCGTTGGTAAGGGCTGTCCAATAGGGGCTTTAAAAGAGTGGAGCTAATAATCAAAAACCTTTCATAAAAAGGCCGTGCGTGACCGGCCCTAAGTAGTTGTCCCTTGGACTCTGCGCTCGCGCCCCCTGGTCTCTAAGACCGACACTAATCTAGTTTCTTTTTCAGGTTCATCAAGAAACACCCTTGCACAGTGTGGGCGGGCAGGAAATGACATCTGCCCTCATACCTGTAACAGCACACGAAACCGTATTGGTCACAATCAAATCCTTTCTACATCTCTTAATAACTCTCTTATCTCCTCGACCCACATGTTAGTTATTTCCATAACTAACCAATCAGATTGGTTTAAGCGCCCACCACGCTATCCAGTCTGACCGGTCTGTAAACTTTCTTTGTTGTGAATGACCTATTGATTGGAGGATTTTATTATTTCATTTTATATTGATGTGACTCGTGCTTTTATTCATTTTCTAAAGACACGCTATACTGGTCGGTACGTTTGCTCGTCTTACTTGATAATTGTAATTTCCTTATTTATTGTACTAATTTAATCGTTTTTTTTTTGTTTAGAAACAGATAAAGTTTAAAACCAAATTGTCTTTTACTAACTATAGCTTTACCACTGATTCTGTGATCGCCAGTATTGCGTTTACTGTTTTAGAATTACATCTGTAGGACAAATTAAATCCTACATAGTTTCGACCAGTAATCATCAGAAGTTCATACACTGAGTACCTTCAAATGTCTACGGAGGATCATAAGACTGATCAGATTCCCGAATCGTCTCCACACTACTCAGAAACTCATAGCAAAGACCAATTTGGAAGAAATAGCTTCCGAATGGATCCTTTAATAGAATTAGAATTAGCTAGAGTACGTTTAGCTCATATAGAAAAGGAAATTGAGTTAGAATGGTTACGTCAAAGAGGAAGAGAATATTGTAACCAAATCCAGGATGAAAAGGTTATGTCGTACGAATTTTCATCCGTTTCACGTACAGCTGATAACAACGCCGGAGAGGACTGGGTAGGAAGCTTTAGAAGCTTAAGCAGCTTTAGACCTAAACAAGCGAGAAATCATAAGTTTCGATGGTAATCCTATGAACTACTGGAGTTTTATACAAAGTTTCGAGGATTGTTTCGATGAAAGCGTCGGACATCGATCTTAGTTAAACTATTTGATTCGATATTGTGATGGTGAAGCCAAGGCTACCATTGTTCATTGTACATTGCTTCAACCGGAAGCAGGTTATCGTAAAGCGTTAGAGCTTCTTGAGGAAGAGGTTCTTCGGTCAGAAACACGTAGTTGCCCGTGCATATATCGACAAGATGTTGAACATCCCTGCTATTAAGGAGACCGACCCAAATAGTTTAAGAATTTCGGCTCGTGAGATGTATATCTGTGAGCTTACGCTCAAACAAATGAACTACCTATCCAATCTTAATTCTACGAAAACCATCGAAAGCATGTTTTTACAACTTCCAACATACCAGCAGAGGGAATGGTTTAAAGTAGAGTGTTGAATTCTCAAGACGGGTAGGGATCCTTTATTCAACGACCTCTGTGAATTTGTAAAAGAACAGTCAGATATAGCTAATACTAGATACGGCCTGCTTGTCAACCGCAGCGGTAATGTTGACAAAAGAGATTTCGCTGTTTTGAAAGGGAAAGCTGTCGCAAGTTACAACATAGCAAAAGTAGCACATGCAAGCATTAATGATGGCAATACCTCCTTACATAGTTCACCTTGTCCAGATTGCTCCAGCAATAATCCCTTAGATCAATGCCAGAAGTTTAAAGACAAAAATATTAAAGAAAGGAAAGAATTCGTCTTTAAGCATAAGTTATGTAATGTTTGTCTGAAAGCGAACCATATAGCAAGAAATTGTCGATCGACGAGGTCGTGTGCTGTCGAAGGATGTGGCTGGAGACACCATACTCTGTTACATGAGAAGCGGGAATAATGGAGAGAAACTAACAGTGATGACTATATTAATACTCGGATTTGTAAGGAGGAAGGCAATAAGTGCATACAGAGGCCAGTGGCATTTGCGGTAGTTCCAGTATGGATAAAAAATAGTGAGAAAAATATTCAGACGTGCTCCTTTCTAGATAGCGGATCAGACACCTCTCTCATAGTTGAAGATCTAGCTGATAAGTTAGGCCTCGAAGGAAAGCCGAGAACGGTATCTCTAAAGACCATTAGTAACGAATCGTCGTTGGTATCTAAAGAGGTCGATGTAGAGTTGCACTCGATAGACTTCTCATCACCGTTAAGATCCAGAATGTGTTGACTGTCACAAAACTACCGGCAGTTCACAGAACTGTGCCGACGGCGAGTCAAATGGCATCCTGGTCCTATTTAAAGGACGTAAGTTTTCCGAGAGTAGAAGATGAGAACGTTGAACTGTTGGTCGGGTGTAATGCACCGAGAGTACACGAGACGAAAGAGATGAGGACCGGAAAGACAAATGAACCGTCTACTAAGAGGACTTTATTAGGTTGGACGCTGTTCGGTCCTTACGGGGAATTCAGTGATAACAACCGTGTACTTAATCACCTCGGCTAGTGAGGAACTAGAAGATAAGTTTGAACAGTTGTACTCAACTGAATTCAAAGACCAATTTAGTCATACCCCATCTATGTCTGTGGAAGATCGTACAGCATTCAACGCTATATCAAGCTCAGTGCAAAGGTTAAATGGACACTACCAAATGGCTCTGCCTAGGAGGCACGAACATAGGTTACCTCATAATAAAAAATTAGCAGAACATAGACTCAGCTGTTTGAGAGGTAGACTTGTTAGGTATGCGAAGCTGTTCCAAGACTATGTGAACACTATGACACGATATATAGAAAGAGATTATGCCGAAAAGGTAGACGATAACGACTGTAATGGACGAATCTGGTATCTTCCTCATCACCCTGTCTTTCATCCCAAGAAGCCCAACAAGTTAATAATAGTGTTCGATTGTGCGGCTCAGTATGCTGGGACGTCTCTAAACAAAAATCTTTACTCCGGGCCTGATCTAGTCAATAACTTAGTAGACGTTCTCACCAGGTTTCGGCAACGACCAATAGACCTTACGGCAGACATTGAAGCCATTTTCCATCAAGTAGTGGTCCCGGCGCACGATCAAGATGCTCTTAGGTATTTGTGGTGACCAGGTGGAAATTTAGAAAAGGAGCCAGAAGTCTATAGAATGCAAGTCCATCTGTTCGGGGCAACCTCATTACCATGTTGCGTCACGTTTGCCCTGCAGAGAACAATTTCCGATAACCAAGATAAATTTCCGCAAGTTGTTACGCAAGCAGCTAAGGAACAGTTCTATGTGGACTATTTATTAATACGCGTCGATACTATAGAAGAAGCTAAACTGACTTATTCATATTTCAGAAGACTTAAGTTTGGGAGAATTTAAATTAACTAAATGGACGAGCAACAGCCTTGAAGTACTGGTGTTCATTCCAGAGAAAGATCGTACCGAGGGAAACATTACCGTCTGCAAATCAAACGAGATGAGTAAACGAACGCTGGGGTTAGAGTGGAACACCAGAACAGATGAATTATGTTTAAAAGTTCACGAGTTTCCTGGAAACCTAACCAGAAGAAATATTTTATCGTACGTGCCATCTATTATTATTATTATTATTATTATTATTATTATTATATTTGGTCCCATTGGGTTTGTAGCCCCAGTAATACTACCAGCTAAATTAATCCTACAAGACACGCGTTGGCAGAAACTAGACTGGGACGCAGAGCTACCCATAGATTGTCAAGCGAAGTGGAATATTTGGTGTAGACGTATAAAGGAGTTGGGTCACTTAAGAATACCGAGATGTCTGAAACCAAGGTTTGAACCATTATCCACTCAAATTCATTGTTTTGAAAATGCTTCAGAGCTTGCGTATGGTGCTGTTACGTATATTCGATTTGAAGGTGTTACCGGTCAGGCTCATTGCTCATTTCTGCTAGCTAAATCTAGAGTTGCTTGTTACGGGAGAAATGAAGACATTTTGCTGATCAAAACCTTTATATATAAATATCATTAATTTCACTGGTTTTTGGGTATATTTGTTTTACTTAACTTATGAACTTGTTTGAATTATTATTTTCGGCCATTTTGGAGTCCTGTTTGTCTTGGTTGTTCGTTTGCAGTTTTTTGCTCCAGAAATCTATAAAATAGAAGGTAATTGTAATTATTACAATTATTGTTGTTAGAACGACATTGGTTGTCTATTTGTAATAAACCAAGGATATTTTGGTCGATTATTTGTGAATTGGCAATAAACTTTGGTACCTACTTTGGAGTTTCCTTTTGAATTAATACTTGGGATCGTGAATTGCAAATAGATAGACAGACTGTGCTTCTAAGGATCAAAGAGCAAAAAATTGGACGTAACATTGCTCTTCTAAGACTTGTCACTATGCTTAGAATGGAATTAACGGCGGCCGTACTCTGTGCTAAGATTGGGGAGCATGTGGAACAACAACTGCGTATCCCTATCTCCTCTGTCACTTATTAGACTGATTCATTAGTTGTATATCATTATTCAAGAAATACAGCCAAAAGATTTGAGAGATTCGTAAACACCAGGTTAGCAACGATTCACGAACTGTCTACGGTGAGGCAATATAGATACGTTAAAGGTAAACA